TTCACAAATGCTTTAATGAAACTGCAAGGGAAGTAATACTTCATTTCTGGAAGCAAGCATTACCCTAATACCAAAACCAGACAAGAATTCAACCAAAAAAGAGAACTACAGGTTAATTTTCTGAATAAGCACAGATGCAAAAATCCTCAATAAGAAACTGTAATACAGAATGCAGCAAATCATCCTGAAGATTATACACCATGACCAAGTAGGATTCACCCAGGGATGCAGAGATGGGTCATCATATGCAAATCAATAAATGTAATATACCATAAAAGGAGAGCCAAGGACCAAAACCATATGTTCATCTCAATAGCTGCAGAAAAATCATTTGACAAAGTCCAATACCCATTCATGGCAACAGAAAATTGGAATAGACTGTCTTTATGTCAATCTGATAAAAGCCATCTACAACAAACCACCAGCCATCATCATACCAAATGGACCAAACTGAAAGCTTTCACTCTAAAGTCAGGAACAATTCAAGGAAGTCCACTGTTGCAGCTCTTATTCAATATAGTTCTGGAAATATTAGCCAGAGCAATTAGACAAGAGAAAAAATAGAAGGAACAAGAATAGGAAAGGAAGAAGTTAAATTATCACTATTTGTGGATGACAGATACTCTATAGTGAAAATCCTCAAAACTCCACAAAAGACTTCTAGATATATAACCAAATTCAGTAGCAAAGTCAACACTCAAAAATCAATAGCATCCCTGTACACAAATAACAAACTCTCAGAAAGAAATTAGGAAAATAACACCTTTCACAATAGCATCCCAAAAATGAAATACCTAGGTATTAATCTAATGAAGGAAGTAAAAGACCTTTACATTGAAAACTACACTATTCTGAAAAAGGAGATGGAGGAGGATATCATAAAACGAAAAGATAACCTTTGTTCTTGGGTAAAATGAAGCAATATAGTGAAAATGACCATATTTTAAAAGTCTTATACAGATTTAGTGCAATCCTGATCAAAATACCAATATCATACCTCACAGAATTAGAAAAAACAATCCTAAAATTCATCTGGAACTTGAAGAGACCTGGAATAGCAAAAGCAATTCTGGCAACAAAGGCAAGGCAGGGGACATAACAATCTGTGACTTGAAGTTATACGACAAAGCCTCTGTGATACAAAGTAGCACAGTACTGCCAAAAACACAGGCCCAAGGATAAATGGAGCAGCTTCTAAGATGCAGTAACTACTCTAAACACACTCAACCACCTTATCTTTGACAAAGGGGTCAAACACTTTCACTGGAAGAAAGCCTCTTATACAAATGATGCTGGAAAAACTGACATGCCAAAGATTAAAACTAGATTCACAGTTTTCACCCTGCAGTAAACTAAAATCAAAATGGATCACAGATCTAAATATTAAAACAGAAACACTAAATCTGTTGGAAGATAGAGCAGGAAGAAGTCTTGAGGACATAGGTGTTGGCAAAGACATCATGAACAAAACTTCAGTCACACAGGAAATATCACAAAGAATCAATAACAGGAATCCCATCTTATTTTTTGTCTTTTTGGTATCAAGCATCAAACTGGGGACCTTGCACTTGTGAGGCAGGCAGCAGAACCACTGAGCTAAATCCCTGGCCTGGAATCTCATCTTATTAAAAATCTTTTGTACAACAAAAGAAACCACCAAAAGAGTGAAGAAACAATCCATAGTGTGCCAAAAAATTTTTGCTAGCTGCTCCTCAAAGGACTAATATCTACAATACACAAAGAACTCAAAGAAATGAGACCCCAAAAATGTAAAAACCCAACTCCAGAAATGGGCATCTGAAATGAACAGACATTTTCAGATGAAGAAATAGAAATGGCAATTAAATACATGAAAAAATGTTCAACATCATTCATCATTCAAGAGATGAGAATTAAAACAACACTGAAATCTCACTCCATATCACTCCAGAATGAATGGCTGCTATCAAGAAATCAACCAATAACAAATGCTGGTGGGGCTGTGGAGAAAAAGGAACCCTTCTCCACTGTTGGTGGGAGTGCAGACTGATACAATCTGTGTGGAAATTCTTCAAAAAACTAAAACTAGAGTTTCCACTTGACCCAGCTATTTCCTTTCTTGGGGTCTTCCCAAAAGAATTAAAAGCATCATACCACAGTGATATATGCACACCCATGTTTATGGTGGTACAGTTTTTAATAGCTAAATCTTGGAAACAGCCAAATGCCCATCAACCAATGAATGGAGAAAGAAGATGTGGGTTTAGCTAACTGGATGCACCTTGAGACCATACTCTTAAGTGAAATAAATTGGACACAAATGCTTAAAATATTGTATTGTTTTTCTGGTGTGAGAAACCAAAAGTGTAAATAAGGACCAAAATGTACAATAGATATTGGGACATGGGAAAAGCATGTTCAAATGAGAAGGGAAACATGGGGGTGGGGTGTGGAAGAGATAAGAAAAAAAAGAGGATAGAAAGAAGAAATAGAAACAAAGCTTTTATAATAAGGAAGGGAAGAATGGTTGATGGGAGGGGTGGGAAATGGGAAATAAAGAAGAAGCAAGATATGTCATATACAACTACAAATTCCCTATGATGAATGTTATCATTATGTATATCTAAAATGTACCTATGACATAAAAAAATAATAAAATGGGTGGGAACTGCAAAATTTATCACCAAAATAGCTGAATTATGTAATCTAGGACTTTGTGGTGAAAGCTGGAGAATAAAATTTAAGTACATTAACAAATGAACTGGAAGATTATTTGGATTTATGGTAATGTCTTTATCAGGAAAGTTCATTGTTTTTATCAAAGTTAGCCAAGTAATTATGATTTAACAAATACCTCTTCATTCTCCCTTTTATTTTTCTTTTTGAACTATGATATCTCTCTAATATACTGGTGTTAAATTCTGGCTCTTTGACCAAAGTTGTAGCTTAAAGTGTGAATGCAGTAGCAGACATCTCTCCAACAATATGGTAGATCACCGTGCAGACCAAGACTTCCAAGTGGGAGGCTCTGTTTCCTAAGAGTAGATTCCCTGTGCACACCAGAAATATTTGTCCCAATGTTGGTTTTAACAAAACTACTGGTCCTTTTCTCTCACAAACAATGGTGTCTCTACTATGTTGTACGTCAAAATGTGGCAAAGTAGGTGGACTATCAACTGGATTGGCTTGACGTCTGACCAGGGGATTAATAAAGCAACTTATAGATTGGGTGGGTGGATCATGGAGGAGTGATTTTGGGTCTACATATGACCTCTTGTGCCTTCCTCTCTGCACTGTTTCCCTGTTCTGCTTCACTTCTGCCAGGAACTAAACGTCTTTGCTCTATCACATCCTTCCATCATGATAATCCTGCCTTGGAGCCAGCTAACCACAGACTGAATTCCCTTAAAATATGAGTCAAATTAAACCTCTTCTCCTTTAAGTTATGAGTGTTGGATATTGCGTCCTGACAACGGGAAAGCTCACTAATAGAGGTAGCATGCTTTGGACGTTTCCTTCAGAGTGTCATTGGTAGGTAGAGGAAGTGGAAACAATCTTAAAAACAGATTTTAGCAACTAACAAAACTATCTTAAGAGGTAAGTCTGAATGATACAACTTGGAGGAACCAACTAAAAGACATTATGGTCATCAAGAACTAGGGCAAAAAATTCTGAGTGAGACAGTCCTTTTAAAACATAGAGAATGGTGCTAAATTTTGTTATCTGTTCTGAAATTCCCTGCTGACTTCAAAATACCAGTTCTAGATTTTTTGAACAAACCTCTTTCACTTTTAAAGTTACAAAAAGAAATTTGGGTTTATCATAGAAACATACAATATGATAATGGAAGCCAAATGAAAGGGGAGAAATGCTCCCACATTCAGATCAGTTTGTGTGTACACATTTGACCTAAGACAACTATTTTGATGACTCCAGGAAATACCTATTTTTCACTGAACAGCTCAACATATACTTTCTCATTTGTAATAGCAAACACCTACAAGAATTTTTGTATCATGAGTAAGTTCATTCTTTTATACATAAAGAGCTCATAGGGGGAACAAATTCATCTGGTGAAAGAAAACCCTCTGGGGAGAAGTAACAATGGTCCCCAGTAAATATGTTACCAGAATTCTAAGACATTAGGTGACTGTTTCAGGAAGTGCCCCCTTCCTTTGAAATGTCTGGAGAGTGCCTTTGAAATTCAATAGTGATTCACAGCAGGAGATGCAAACTTGTTCTGTAAAGAGCCAGGCAGTAAATAGTCTAGACTTTGTAGGCCACATGGCTTCTGTCACCAGCGCACATCTCAGCTGTGGTAGTGTAAAAGCTGCCATAGAAAATACATACATGTTCAGAAATGACCAGGTTTCAGTAAAACTTTACTTATGGGCAATGAAATTTGAGTTTGTTGTCATTTTCATAAGTCCTGAAACATTATGTTTAAAAATTCTTTTCAAGCTTTTAAAAGTTACCCCTTTCTAGCTTAGGGCATTATAAAAATAGGCAGTAATTTGTCAATAATCAATTTGGAGAGTGCACTTTTGATCAGGAAATTCAGAGAGACCAAAAGAGAAAGGACACAAATACAATGCCCATGAATTCCCTTCTGCTGGTGGAAAGACACACACACACACACACACACACACACACACACACACACACACACACAC